GGATTATTTATTTATTTATTTATTTATTTATTTATTTATTTATTTCCCAATCTAACCAACAGGTCTGGGATTTTCTATACTAGCCAAGCCCTTTCCTGTTTAATTTTTGACCTGAGACACTTATCTGGAACTGACCCAAATAACTCAGCACTTTTTCAAATATTGGGAAAGTTAACTTCTACTGAATTTTGACTTATAGATTCATCAACAAGTACCGCTGAGCATGGGTGCTACTTTTTTGGCAAAATCCCAATGGTCCTTAACTGTCCCAACATATTTTCTCTTTTTATTTTCTCAGCTGATCACCCCACATGCCATCCGTGTCCAAACACCCCCTCGTCACATCCCTGGCGTGGTTGAAGTAACATTATCGTACAAATCCAAACAATTTTGCAAAGGAGCTCCTGGTAGATTTATTTATACAGGTATGTGAAAATATCACATTGCAAAGTTCAGGCTGTGGGAGGGCTTCATTTTTCTCCCTCTCCTAAATTACTGAGGGTTAAAACTGGGAATTCATTTCAAGAATTAATCATTAGTACCTTTTAAAAATGTTTTACCTTTTTCCGATATTTTTGCGTGTGCTTTTCACAGATAATGCATTCAGATAATGTCTGAATAGAGTTACAGGTTTTTCTTGTGAATGTGACATCCTTGTTGAAAAACCATATTCTGTGTGTCCAAGGCAGATCTCCTCTGAGTATCAAGTTCTGGAGACAAAATTATGAGGACTTTCCTCTCCTGTTTTTGAGCTTTCCATTAATTGGTCCTAATGAAGTAGCCTTAATTAAATTGCCTTGCAAATTCTCAAAAGTTTTCTTAGCGTGTAAAAACAGTTTCTGCTTTCCTTTCCTGAGAATTTCTTTTGAATTTCTGTAGGTGATATTTTTGAACTTACCTTATTTGTTTATTTATTTCTGTTGGAGATGGTGGTGATAGTGGGGACATTCTACTAGTGGGGTTGTTTCCTATAACACATGCTCTGAAATCTCCCTGATTGCTTACATGGGGGGGGGGGATCTCATGGGATCTCTTGAGCTTTAATAGAAATGAGGAGAGCCAAGAAGACTGAAAATAAATAGATGAATGGTTGTACAGTAAAAGGCCAGCTCCTTGCTCTGATTCTGAGATTCCATTTATTGAAGACATGTCTTCTTCTTGTCTGCCCTCTTCACTGGGGCAGACTGAAACCAGATCAAAGTGATCTGGCAGAAGAGTGATTTTTTTCCCCCATGAGAAAAGGAAGAAGCTCTCCTAATTTGGATTTTCTATGTCACATCAAGGAGGAGGAGCCTTGGTGATTCAGAGGGTCCCAGTGAAGGACCTCCCACCATATGTCTCCATAGCCATTTCTACTTTGGCTGCCAGGAAAAGTAGAACCCCCACTTTGGGGTCTATGTAGGGGGATGAACAGAGAAATATAGACCTTATGGAAAATCAAATGTGGATCTCCCATGAGGTCAATATTCCTACTGGTAAGCAGAAAGAAGACTTTTTCCCCCCAGTGAGAAATTTGGAGGACATTAATGATTGCCAAGTCTTTAACCATAAAGGCATTCTACCAAGAATCTTGGCCCCAAATTGTCTATATGGACACAATAAAAATCTTGAACTTGGCAACTCATAGACCAGCACTGCAATTGTCGGAAGACTGTTAATGTATATGTAAAGAGTCCAGTTTGCGTTAGTTTTTACCAGTTGCAGCTTTCAGACCAAACGTAAGTGTAGCCCCATATAACACTCACTCTCGTACTACATGGAGATGTTTACCAGAGCATCTATCTAGTCTGAAAATAGACAAGAATAAAAATACAGGACAGTGGATTGTTGTTTTTCAGTCCGCTGCTGCTGTTTGGCAACACAGAGGAATGTAGGCAAGGACATTGGTAGAGATTCTTTTTCAGGTTCACTCAAGGAGAGAGAAAAAAAGTTGTTTTGCTGCTGTATGCTAGAAGATGCTTCATAAAATTAGCAAGGGTAAAATCAAGCAATTTCTCAGTCTCTCTGTCTAAGTAGATCATGACAAGCAAAGTGATAAACACAACTATTAAATACAGCTGCACCTGGTGTAACCAATTCCCCCAGCTCTTTCTGGCTGGTAGCAGAATGCTTTAAAGGAAGACACAGAACAATAAAAGAACTTCCAAGCTGCGCAATTAACCCAGTGTGTTGTTTTTCTTCTTTGTTCACTGTATTAGCAGTGTTGGGAACCTATTATAACGATAGTATGGTTTTTTAAAACAAGCTATAGATTACATTATTAATGATGATGGTATGCTTTAAAGGAGGAAACTACTCATTATTCTGTTTTGGTTCTGGTTGTAGTTTTTTGCCTGAAGCAGGAGACTGTTTTTCTCTACAAACCTAAACCTCTCTTATCTTGGAAAACACGCCATACATTTCCTGCAAAATTGCCAAAGGAATATTAAATTGGCAGGGTGGGTAATGCCGTATTTACTAGAAAGGACAAAGGTCCTGAAGTGAAGATGGAGCTCCCATCTCAAAAGGAAAAAACAGAAGGAAAAATAAGCCGTAAATGTAGGGAAAGCCTCCTGTGAAATGCCCAGCTTCCCCATCTTGTTAACCTAAAATTGTTATTCCAGGTGAAATCCATCCTAGGGATTTCTCCCCCTCTGAAGGTGCATGAGATGTGTTTGTTTGTGCATACCTATGAAACTATGCTCCAGAAAAGGACATGGACAGGACAAAAAAAAAAAAAAATTAATTAATAACGACTGGTTAAAATTAATTACCTGTAAAATAAAGCAACCATTATAAAATTAATTCATTGCCTGTAAAATAAGAGCCCCATATATAAAATTAATTCATTGCCTGTAAAATAAAAAGTCAATTTAAGAAATTAATTCATCTACATATACCAGCCCTTCTCTCTTGCTCATACAAACCACTCTCATACGTAGAAACAAGCAAATACTCGTGCAAGCACTCATTCTTCTTTCTCCTTTCACCGCTGACAGTAAAAAAAAGGAGAACAGATGAATAGGAGAAATGGGAAAGGAAGAGTTGCAGTGGTAAGGGAAGAGAAAGGGGAGCAAAAATGGGATGGAGGGGAAATGAGGGGAAGAGGTATACGGACAAGGAGAGACAGAAAAGAGACAAGCTCTGGTTACAAAAGGGTTAAGTTCACCAGGCAAACAGCCCTTCCCAAATGAGGGCTAATCTTCCAAGCCATCCATATTTTTCAACATTTTTCAGCCATTTGCATCTCCCAGCTTTGCTCATTTTCAACAGGGCCTTCTGTTCATCTTAGCAAATGTAAGATGACTCTTATCCCCACACAAATCCAGTATTTAGATTTTTTATTTCTTCTTGGGGGACATAATGTCCAAATGTCCAATGATTCTAAAGCTATTTGACTTGCATATTTCTACAGTGTGGCAGTTGCCTTACCTATCTTACCTAACTAGTGTGAGACAGAGGGCAAATTTCTGCTAAAATACAACATGCCGTGAAATCATATCGTTTATCCTTGAGCATCAACCATTCAGAAAAGGCCAGGATAGGTGCAGTCCACAAGCTGATATTATCATATGTATGACCATATCAATTTTTTTTGGGTGCAGCCTTTTACTTGACTGCATACAGCATATCACACAAAAATTCTTGATAGGACCATACTTAAAATCAAGTCAAGTCTGCCTTTGTTTTACAGTGTTTTATCTTTGCACAGAAGGATGCACCCTGATAAAATAGCACATGTACACCTGGTGAAATATTACATCAAAAATCCCTGATGCAGTCCTCACACATGCTACTCAGGGTTTCATTACTGTGCTTATGCACACTGATCATGTGGAATAGGAAAGTAAGACAGACGAACTGAAGGAGCCAAATTACAACAAACTGCAAATTCATGTAATTCTGCTAAGGTTGTGGTAGGGTGGGAAAAATGGAATAATGGAGTCACTTCCCTTTAGAAGCAAGGTTGGGTAATTCCAAACTAAAATCCAAGAGTATTCCTAGTGCAAATGGGCTATTGCTAAATCTATGCTCAGTTCTTGCTTTTCTTTTTATCCATTCAATCGTGTCCAGTTCTTGGACCCTGCCTGGACAAATCCCTTCAGTTTTCTTGGCAAGGTTTCTCAGAAGTGGTTTGCCATTGCCTCCGTCCTAGGGCTGACAGGTAGTGTCTGGCCCAAGGTCACCCAGCTGGCTTTGTGCCTAAGACAGGACTAGAACTCATGGCCTCCTGGTTTCTATCCTGGTACCTTAACCAAACTGGCTCTTTTGTAAGTAAGTAACTAAGAAGTTCTTGCTTACTACTGAGCAAATGTGTTCTGAAATCAGGCCAATAGAAATGCAAATATTCAATTTCTCAGCTCTTAGCATATATTTATTTCTGTCATATTTGGAGCTATTGTTTCTGACCAGGGATAGAGATCAATTAAAGTTTTTGAGGCATGCTTTAATCTGATCAGCGTGAGAGCTCAGGGAAGCTGATAGCAATCTCAGGGTCGAAACTAGGCTCCAATCAGAATCACCCAAGGGAGTCTGCCAGAAAGGCCTGCCTCTAGTGTTCGCATTAGCAAGCAGATGTAGATGGCAAGGCAGGGATTTCAGGAGTTCATGATTCAGCTGCTGAAGATCTGAGGAGGGTGCTTCAATATTTAATACCAAATCCAATATTCATTTCATGTTCCAACTGATTAGGCATTAGCTGAACAAGAACAGCACCAAGACAGCTTGTTTGAAGAAAGAGCCATAAACTGTTAAAAAAAAAGACAACTATAAAAATTAAAGATAAATTCCAAGGGTACATCTAAATGTCACAGTGGGAGCTGTTTTCTCTACGCATATGTTCTCTGTAATGGGTACTTCTAATGGGTTATGGCAAAGGATGACATGCTCGCATGGCTCTTGTTAGATCTGCAAGCAATTTCTCGCAGAGGAGCCTCCATCAGGGTTGCATGTCTGACAGTCATGAGATTGATCAGGGTGCCAAGCTGGGTATCACGCTGGGCATCCTTTCTCCCTCCCTGTATGGTGGGAGGAACCCCTTAGTGGCTTAATTAGTTAGAAACCTCTTTGTAGAGATTTGGAATTTGAAGCGACTGACAGATTGGTGGAAGTCTTGCCCTGTTTCTGATTTTGTTCTGGGGGGAAAGGGGATTTCGATGGCATCTTTCTTTTTTAAGCCAAGCAAACCATTGGTTTCATGGACCTCTGTTCAGCGGACCTCAGACGCAATAGGCTAAACTCTGTCCATATACTATATACTTCTGTGCATGTATAAAATCCTGCTTGCCATGATTGTATATACATGTGTAAATGCATAAAATATCCATGCATAAAATCCCATTCAGATTTAAGAAATACTTGGCTTTAACAGACACACCTTCCCCCTTGTTAGTCAGGTAAATTGAAAGTTTGCTGTACGCTTTGTCTAGTTTACAACTGACAGTTTAGCTATACTGATTTTTACAGTTATAGCTGGAAGAGATCTTGACCCTTCAGAAGGGAGATCTGTCACCTAACACCACCAGCAGCAAAATCACAACAGAGAAAGAATAAGAGATGAGAGGTAAAGCTGAATATAATTGAATGACATCCAGTGAACCAAGATCCAGTGTGTTCCTCGCCCACAATCACACTGATCGTTGATTTTTTGTGTTTTACAATGCACTGAAAAGCTAGCAATGAGGACACCAGGTTGACCTCACTGGCATGAACATTCCCGAACCTGGGAGCCACACTGAAAAAATCTTGCCTTCTGTTCTCATTCACGTTGGCATTCACTACTGTTACTGATCTGCATGGCCAAGTTAAGATTAAAGTGGTCCTTAATCCCAGACGGTTAGCATCTTAAATTAAAAATGCAACATCCTGAATTAGGCTTAGAAACAGTTCCCATTTATTTGTTTTAGAAAGCCTGAGGGCTAGAATTTGAAGATATATAAATAAATACCTTTGATTCTCATATCCTGCAGAACTTATTCTTATAGGTTACCACCATGAAATAAACACTTGTTTAGGACAGCCTTCTTCAAAATTAATACTGAGTAATAACCAGATTGTGTCCCTGAGTTACAAATCTGGATATTCCCATTAGATATTCTTGGTTAAATATGTGCATTTAGATCATTAGGTTTTCCTTTCCTTTCCTTTTTTTAAATAAAGCTGCTCCAATTTATAATCCCTGTAGCTTGATCCAAGACATGTAACTTACTTCAACTATTAGGCTCAGAACGAACAAGAGAAATGGCAGATAGTGATATATAAGATCTCAAGAGGATTCTGACAAATTCTCACGATTATTGGCACAACTTCTCTGCTCTGCTCCCAAAAGGGAAATAGATTCTATGGCGGTTGAAATGTGTATTATTAAACTCCTTAAGCAATCCAGAATGGTTCCCCATGGGCGGCAAAAATTATTCTAAGTATAGCAAAGTTGAAATTCTTAGGTCTAAGTCTTTCCCATTCAACCCCCATTTGATTCCATCCAATAGTCTTTAAACTGACCATCATTAGTCCATTAAAATAAATCAAAGTTCATGTCACCAGAGCCTATTATGGCTGGGCAAGGTACTTCCATTCTGTTCTGCTAAAGACAGCCAGATGGGAAGATCTGGGGCCAGACAAAATGCTGAATTGGCACCCGGTTTGACTCTGCACTCCAACACAGCAAAGTTGCAGTGCTAAGGGGTTTTGTTCACTCTGCTATGACCATTTTCAGTTTGCACCTCCTGGAATTATCCCGTAGTTTTTGCACGTCTCTGAATTGTGAGATGCAATACTTGGATTAAAAAAAAGATAAAATATCTATCTTAGGGATAACATATTATCAGAATTTTGCCGCTGAAGAAAATAAGTCATTGGGAAATATGGGTCTTGTGCAAAAATTCAGAGATCCACAATTTACCACCATTTTCATGCCAATGTATTAAAAAAAGAAGAAAAATGAAAAGAAAAGAAAAGAAAAGAAAAGAAAAGAGAAAAGAAAAGAAAAGAAAAGAAAAGAAAAGAAAAGAAAAGAAAAGAAAAGCAGATGAATGGAGAAATGCAATGAAATGGATTTCCAACAAACTTCAAGAAACTAACATGGATCAGAAATTGTTGGGCATTCTCTTTGGCAAAGTACCCCCTGATATCCATGCTGACCTTATTAATGGTGGGCAGAGGGTTGCAAACTGACTGCCATTTTGAATTTCCCTTACTGCCCTTGTGTAACAATGATCAAGTGAGGCAAGATGGACATTTGCAGTGGCAAGTTACCTTCCATTCAAATACATAGACTCCCTTGAGTTGAGTTTGCCTCCTGATGACTCCATGGAATGTTCCTGTGGTTTTCTTGGAAGCTGTGCAGAAGTGGTTTGTCTCCTTATGGGATGTTTGTCCAACTTCCCATCTACCCTACATCTCTGAAATTTCCTGATAGTCTTCTGGAAGCCATCTTTGGAGATGGCATTGTAGCTTGGTTCTGTTCAAGAAAATTAAACTATGAATATTTGGAAACGTCTTGAAAAATATGGGCGTTGACCAGTTTATTGCTGTAGAGGGACTACGGTGATTGTCTTTTAAATAAATGCATGTGCCCTCCAGGCAAGTTAACATCCTGTGGAAGGCATCTCTTGACTAGCAGCTGTGATGATCTGATTGCCCTTTTACAAGTTTTTTTGGCTTTTCTGTGACTTCATTTTTTCTGCCCAAAGCCACATCTAAAGTTGTATTGAACACCAAGGTGCCAATTTGATCCAAGGGAAGAATAAAACTAGTGGTCTCCTCCAGGATTTGTCCTTGGCTGTGTAAATTTCTACATTAAACCATTTTATTCCTTCTGAGACATCAAGGGAGCAGAATAACAGCAAAAGTTCTACATTACAAGATATTATTCATCAGTTCCTTTCTGGGTGACCAAAATCATTCTCTAAGGATTTACTCATTACTATCCAGCAATACTGTAGTCCCAAACAAAGTTAATTGTCTATAAGGTCCATTTTACCATTTCTTGTTCAGCAAAACTGATGATAGATTGATTTGATTTGATTTGATTTGATTTGTTAAGGCTGCCCAGCTCCAAAAAGACTTTGGGCATAACTTAAAATGTATCCAACCAGCATCCTGAATTGCCCCCAGAATGTCAGCCCTTTGAAGTAGACCAGACTAGGAAACCAAAGTTATGAATGCTAATGCTACTTTTATTATAAGGTTACAGTAACAGAATCTTGCTAGTCTGAATATGTTTTCCCCCTCCCTCCCTTTATCTTTATGAGAACAAGGGAGGATCAAGTCTGTCAGCCCTTCAAGGTAGTCCAGACAGGAAACCTAAATCATGAGTATTAATACTACCTTTATTGTAAGGTTACAATAACAGGATTTTGCCAGTCTGAAAGCACTTTCCTCCTCCCCTGCGTTTACTGTCCAGAGAACCAGATCCCTTCTGAGATGCTTCCTCCACCCTCATCCCTCCTTTGGACTGAGATTTATGTTATCAGACCATTGCCTAGGCTGTGGCTCTTCCTCCTGTCTCCCAAGATTATTCTCACAGCCCATTACAAGTCTGAGATGCTTTCTCAAATTACATTTCTGCCTCAGACTCAAATTTCTTTTTTCTGACCTTTGTTTTGGTTGCAGTTCATCCTCCTGTTCCTCAAGGTTATTTCTACCCCCCATTACACAGAAGCTGACTGGGAACCAATGCAGCTCACATAGCAGTGATGACACATGGGCATAATGGGAAGCACCCATTACTGCTCACACCCCTACATTTTGAACCAGCTGCAGCTTCCAGATGGTCTTCAAGGGCAGCCCCATGTAAAACACATTGCAATACTCCAATCGTGAGATGCCTAAGGTTTGAATGAGCATCTGAAGGACCTCCCTGTGGAAGAAAGGGCACAGATGATGCACAAGATAAACCTGTGCAAAAGCCGTCCTGGCCATAGGTGCCACCTGCTCTTTGAGCAGTAGCTGTGAATAATGTTAAATGGCTTCTTTTTCTCTCTCCTGATTAGCTAGCTTCTATTCTCCATTCATAAGTGTGCAGCATTAATTACTGGTTTCTTCCATTATTTCTTTTCTTTTTTCCTTTTAGGGCAAAATAACTTCCAACTTTTGAGTTTTTTTCCCCCTACAAGAAGAAGATTTCACTTGTCACTCTCTTTCCATCCTCTTTTTCAGCTTTAAATGAGCCAACCATAGACTATGGTTTCCAAAGACTCCAGAAGGTTATCCCAAGACATCCTGGTGATCCAGAACGACTAGCTAAGGTAAACCTCACTTTCTCACATATTGACTGCATTCACGTGAGAGGATAAAAGTTAATGGCTGCATTGGTATGGCATGCTGAATCACAAATCAACTTCCCACATTTCATTCTAGCATTGTTTGCCCAAATCTGATCTGTGTAGCCAGTTTATGTACAGTATATTGTGAGCCCCTCAATATGTTCAGTATATTGTGAGTTTATTTATTTATTAAGCACATTTCTATGTCACCACATCCACCGAACAGATGCAGATTAAAACATTCATGGTAGGAGTAAAACAACTCTAAACTCAATAAAAATAAAAGCCATATAACATGCCACCTAAACTATGAATAAAATAAATGAAAATAAAGATGAAGTAATCGAGTAAATCATGGTTGACTCTGGACAAACTTGTGATATGAATTGGAGGAGTTGGTTTGGTTTAACGTAGTGTTTGTAAATCATGCTTTATGACTTAGCATGTTCAGAGCATAACTGATTCAGTGAAGCCTGGCTCAGCCTTCCCTCCATTTTGTTTTCATGGCAAAAAGCTACTTGGAGCACATAAACAGAATAGTGAGATATGAATGACTAATAAATAATAATAATGATAAGAAAGACCAAAAAAAGTCTGGATAGTAGACATTGCAATACCTGGGGACAGCAGAAGAGAAGAGAAAGAACTGCAGAAAATCACAAAATATAAGGACCTGCAAATAGAAGTAGAACAATTATGGCAAAAGAAAGCAAAGATAGTCCCAATAGTAATAGGTGCCTTGGGTGCAATCCCAAAACATCTGGAGCACCGCTTGAAGACCATCAGCATTGACAAAATCCCCATCAGTCCATTGCAAAAGGCAGCTTGACTTGGAACAGCTGATATCCTGCGACAATACCTTTAACCCCATCAAACAGCATCTGCCTATCCCAGGTCCTTGGGAAGGACTCGATAGGTGGATAAAAATGCCAAATCCAGTCTAAACATCTGGATGACTCTGTGGCCAACCATAATAAACAGGAGTTGTTCTGAGCATTTCTCCTGCTTGGTTGCAGGGTCTGTCTGTTTTACACTGTGCTTGCCTAGTTTTTACCCCAACATTTTTCAATGCATGACACATCTTTAGTTGTCCTTCCTTTCTGCTTGTAGGAGATGCTTTTGAAGCGAGCAGCTGACCTAGTTGAAGCACTGTATGGGACGCCACATAATAATCAGGTTAGAATTCCTCTATCCTTATCCTGTGAATGTGGAAAGAAGGGATTGTGTTGGCACCTTCTCCTGAGTCACCCTTCCATCTGATAAACTTGAGTGGAAACTATGAGGCTTACTGCCCAATTAAGACTCCTCCACTGTCTCTACAGGGTTGATCTTTCTCAGTCTTGTATATAGGAATGTATCTGCAATTTCAGTGCAGGAATCCATTCAAGGAAGGGAGCTGGTGGAAGAGGGCAATGTCTTCTTCCTCCCAACTCTGCTGCAGAGGATGAGAATCCAGTTCACCAGTTCTGTTCCTCCTCCATCATCCTATCTGATAATAGTTCCAGTCTATTGTTAGTCTGTCTTCTATTGGATTAGTCTATTAGTATTCCAATAAAAGAGGTTGGCTTTTACAAAAAATTTCTAAACAGACTTATAAACATTTCTAAAAGCTTGCAACTCTGGAAGTCTTATTTTGCCCCATTCTTTCTTCCTCTCTCTTTAATCTACCAGCTCTTCTAGCCCTCTCTTTCTATGATATTCATTCATTCTTATTCCCTTCCTCCCATTCACCGCCCTCCCAAAACAGGGACAATAACCCTTGTCAGAGTTCTTACATGTTAGTAGCCAGAGGGCTTTTAGGTTATTATGTTCTGCAGCTTTAGGACCACAGTTGCTCACTTATGTTCTAGATGAGGATTGAGCAGTATTTTTTCCACTGAGGGCTATCTTCACATCAGAGTGACTTTATGAGAGCCATTTCACATGCCAAAGGCTGATGGAGTTGAAGCAAGTGAGGGGGATACCCATTTTTCTCCTTCTGGCATCTCCTCTGTCTTTCTTTCTGATACCTTTTTCCCTCCTACTCTTCCACTGCACACAGAGGCTGAACAGAAAGGAACAGAATACTCTTTACAGTATTAATCCCTTGAGGAAGAGGGCTTGAAATTATCTAGTTAGCCAAGTACCATTAGCCTGAGAGCCTATTTGAAATGAAATCTTGGAAATCAGGGATAATAACAACAGCCCTGATCTTGGTATCTTCCTACACATCTTACCCTGGTCCCTCACCACCTCAAGACACATGTTTGCCGAACATCTGTGGAGGATTTTTTTTTTTTAATTTGTAAAACAAATCAATCTGCCTGGAATAAAATTTATGTTGGTTTTTTTTGTTTCAGGACATTATTCTGAAGCGAGCTGCTGATATTGCAGAAGCGCTCTACAGTGTCCCCAGGAATCCAGGTCAGATCCCTGCTTTGTCTAGCTCCCCTGCTCATAGTGCCATGATGGGCATCAATTCCTATGGCAGCCAGTTAGGAGTCAGCATCTCTGAGTCAACACAAGGGAATAATCAAGGTAAAATTGCTGAACTGAAATGCACACAATGTATGGAAGTTTTGCTTCAAAAAGATGATGGCTAGACACTGGGAAATATCAGCCATGACCTGATCCTTTAACAAGATGTAGTCCTCATTAATTGCCAAGGCCATCCTAATAATTTATTGTTTTCTTTGTTTATAAACAATCATTTTAACTAAGCATCACTCCCTCAAGTGAAATTAGCAGATGCATTGGTCCCGAGTAGGGTTTATGGGCTTCTATTATGTGTTTTTATTTTTTATTTAAGGAGTGTTTTTCTAATCTGCCATATTTCTAGTCTATTTTTTAAATAATTATTAAAGATTGGATTAGATGTTTAGCAGAACAGATTGAGGGCCAGGGCCAGGGCCAGGGGAGTTCTATACTGGATATTCTGTATTGTGAGTGAGCTCCATCTTCTCCTTTGTTCCAGCTTTTTGTGGAACCCTTCTGGGACATTTGCATGGTCTTATAATGGTTCCAAGAACTGCTGGAATGCAAGAGTGCTTTTTAAAGAGCTTAGCACCGCTAGAGACACACCAGACTTTGTACATGTTATAACGGGAAAAAGATGCCACCTCTTGGCTACCTGATAAACTGTCCAGTATAAATCAACCTCTCTCCTGTCAAATATGGAGCTTCATGGGAGGAAATGGACATTAGCAAGAAGTCATTCTGGCTAGTATCTTCCCCACCCAGAATCTTATGGAAGGGAAAATCCCAACTTTGCTGTCATCAGGATTCCAGGTGAACTTCAGTTTAATCCCTGGGCCTGGATTAGATGGATGGCTTTGGCAGGTAAATACCCTTCTCCCCCCAATTTACTGTTAGGGGAAATAATTTCCTCCTATGCTCATTATTCATGGTAATTAAAGAAAAGATTGTTCTTTATATCCCGAATCTTTCTCCAGCCACAGTGGCATACATAGATTTTCTGCATACCCTCAGTGATGATACCATTCTGAAATACCTTTCAAATTTCTTCGAAAACATTGTCAATCCATAGCCTAAATCATCTCTGTAGTTCACATGTATGTGTTGCGGAAATACATTTCTTTCTCTTACAGTTTCCAAAGAGCTTTTTAATTTTTTAAATCCATCCTTGGTGCAAAAAAGAATGGACCATTCTGAATCTCTGCTAAAACCCCAGAGAAGGTGCAGCCTTGACCACAATTTGCAGCAAATCCCATGTTAATGTTATAAATATTAAAAACACAAGTGTGCTAATTTTTTCCAGATCTTGAAAGACCCTTTCCCATTCTTTCAGCATGAAGATCTGATTGGCAAAATGTACATACATTGTCAAACAAGGGGGTGTTCTTGTCAACTAGTGGGACATGCTTCTCATGGAAGGATGAGAAGCTGCAACAGATCTTTAGAGAGGCTCTCGTGTTATATCCTGCAAAACTATATTTGTGGAGTTAGTACCAGCATTAGCACACTCATTTGGCTTTTAGCCCTAAAAGGTAAACCCTTAGTCTAGCAATTAATCATCTGAAGACCCAGATCTTCTTAGGGAGAGGCAGAAAGCTATACAGAATTGAAGAAGGTTTTTAAATTGGACTATAAAATAAATCCTTAACACATTTATAGTCAAGCAAAGTGGGTGTGACTTATCCCAAGAAATCTGCTACACTATGAAAGGGTGTTTAATTCAAGGTATGTACTGCATCCATTTGAAAATATGTCTTAGCTCAAGCGTTGCCTACAAATATGCATGTTAGCTGCACACGGAACGAGAAAAGTTGGAGGTTGCAGAAAACTATTTGCATGTCATACTATGCAATGCTTGACAATAATTTTAAAAATGCATGCATGTATGGCTGTGTACACACGAAATAACAGAAGATTCCTAATATATCAGCCTTATTTGATAAAACAGATATTTGGAGTAGGAATATCAGTAGGAAGCAATTTAGAAGAGGGGAGTTTCTAAAGATGAAACAAACTTTATTTTCTGTTGCTCTAATGGGCAGAACTAGAACTGGTGGTTCTACAGGCAGACTGCTTGGTATTACTTTAAGTGAGACTTCACAGTAGTAAGAGCTTTTGACGATCAACAGTTTGCCCACGACTTTGCAAGGTTGTCCTTTTTTTCATGACTGGACCATCACCTATCAAGATGAAAGCATACATTATAAATCCTGCACTGAACAGGAGATCACCAACCCCCCCCCCCCCCCCCAAAA